GATACACATGAACGGAGGAAGTAATGAAAAATCATACTTTTTTAGCTCAATCACACACACTGAAACGCCATTTAACCTTTTGAACAGCACTCAGGGTAAACACGTAAAAAATGAATGACACGGAATTATGAAAAAAATTTCTTTCCAAATAGGAGAATTTAAAATTTTTTCTCTAAAATCCGACCCAAAAAACACAAAGAGAAAAGCAATACACGGATGGAAGGAGTAATAGAAGACCATACTTTTTAACTCAATCACACACGCTGAAATGCCATTTGACCTTGAATTCATGAAACAAAATCTAGAGTCATATAACATTAATACATACATTTGAAAGAATGATAAGGAATAGTTGTGAGCTTCTATTCCTGCAAATTTCTTTCAACTTTCTCTAAAGGCCGTTGGATGAGAAAATAATTTGGAAATGCACTTTCAAAATTATCAGCTTAGAGTTGTATAAATAATCTTAGCTTCTGAAATCCAAAGACTTGTACGTGATATATAAATCGGGTTCAAATTAATGTTAATGATTGCAACCTATTATCATCTATAGACTTATAAAAAGGACTAATTTTCAACATTGCGCAATCAGTAAAATAAGTGTTCTAACATCCAGAGAAGAAGGAAAGACAAGGATAGTTAAGCAGTTAGAGAGCATAAAATTTAAAACACTCTGCTGCAATTGAAGAGTCCAAATATTAAAGGAAATTAGCAAATACGTGAAATTAACCTGCTAACAACAAAGTAGACAGAATCAGGCTTTGCCTGGATGGCAGTTTTTGTAAAACCGAGCTTATCAGCAGGCCAGAGTTCATCGCCAAAGAAGCTGCTGGTGTAGAGCACCTGGTCCCCAACTTTGAGTCCTGCTTTTGCAGCATTCCCACCATTTTCCACACCCTGTGACAGAGACAAGATATGGCAAAATGACATGTGACTTTGAGCGTGGCACGAACACATGGGGGCACGCCCGCTGAAAGTTTACATGTTAAATTTTTATTTCAATACTTCATTAGTTTACGAAAAAACCACCCTCTATTTAGCTCTCTTATTTTGAATTTCCAAGGTCAAATCCTTCAACTTTATATCCGTTGAATTTAGTATTTTTCCATCGTTGAATCAAATAATTCTTATTACAAGTGATTATCATCACACTAAAAATCATGAACAAATTTGTATCTAAAAAAGGAAATAGAATTAAAAACTCACAGCGATTACAACTCCACCACCTGATTTTTGGCCCAAAGTCAGTCCCAACGGCTTGTCAACCTCAACCTCAATGTTTTTTGCAGCAGCAGTTCTGGCTGTAATCTCAAGCCCCCTTTTCATCACCCTTATACCACTGCTCTTGCTCTCATAAACCAAAGAATTGAACACAACCCTTTTCGCATCTTGAATTGAAAGCCCATGGAAATTGGTTTTCTTATTTCATTCAAGAATCAAGACTTTCATCAGACACAAAACAGGTATGATT